TTTTTCTATATGTATTATATACATGTAGAGAGTTAAATATCATTTCTTTATTTTCAAAATCCTAAATTAGGTATCAAAAACTTGAATTTTCATTTCATTTAGGCAAATTTAAAATTTTTTAAATTTACTATTTTAGCCTCAAATTTATCAATATTTATATTAGCTAAATACAATTTTATTAGATCCTACATGATTTTTATTATTTATGTAAAAAAGGATTAAAATATATGAAATCAACAAATTTAGAACTTAAGTGTAACTCTTTTAAAAATTTAGGGAGTAAAATGTAATAAAAAAGTTAAAAGCAGGAACTAAATTAAATCAACTTGGAGTTTGAGTATTAAAGTGCACAAGAACTAAAAGTTAAAGAACCAAAAGTGTAATTTTACCATTAAACTTTTAAGGATTTTAACCGCCAAATAGATGGCGTTATAACGGCAGGTTAAAGGAGGGATGATGAATTGATGATTGTCCTTTTTCCAAAGTTGAGGGATTTCTATGAATTTTTTTAAAGTAGAACGATGACAATGATCCCTTTTTCAGAGTTGAGGGATTTTTAGTGGCATGAAGACTTTGTCTTATACTTTATTGATGTTATCCTCCATTGCTTTTCCAGCACTGTGTTTTCTCAGGGGATTAGTCTTGACATGTAATAATATGCATAAAATGAAACCCCAAGATAGAATAATTTTCACATTTGTCACCTGCAGGCAGTCATCTTTTTTTTTTTTTTTTTTGGGTAAAATTCAGACAGTCATCTTTAGCATCTGTTATAATTCAATATTAGAAGAATACGAATAGTTCTATTTAGAGGATATTTGGAGTTTCGTGACTTCCTACCATCTTTAGCAATTGTACTTGAAATGGAACGATGTAATAGTATGCTCGTGCCAAAAGGCATTTTAAATAGTTAAAAACTTAAAAACTTATTTGAGGTTGTAAATTTCTAATTTGAATGTTGATGCAAGTAAAAATGGATTAAAAGAAAAAAATTATTATTTTTTATTGTATAACACACCATTTAATATATAAAACAAAATAGCATATAAGCCTTCTTTAATGTCAGATGAGAAGTCCGCAGCTTTTCATTCGGGTTTTCAATCAATTCAGTCTATCATGATAAGTTTGCTGAAAATTTGCCTTGAATGACATCTATTACTTGATTCCTTCCAAATTTTATATTAAGCTGCAATGTTCATCAATCTAAATCATGTAGTGGCACGGTTTTAGACTTTGATATCAAGTTGGCTTAATTAAATCTTTGGATGAGACAGGATTTTGTACTAATTGATTAATTATGGAGTTGGGACTATGAATCTGTCTCAGTAAATGAAAAGTGAATCCTACATGGATAAGGTAAGAAATATGTTAAATGTAGGCATGAGTCAATGGCATTCCAAAATTTCCAGATTTTACTCAAGTAATTGGGGAAAGAGAAGCTTTTTCAGTGGGAATATGAAGATAAATCTCTTAAGAATTTAAATCTAAAGAAAGTGGATAATTTTTTTTTTCCAAAATCGTATTATATAAAAATTTTTCTTGAGTCTAATCAAAAGTAAACAAGATTAGAATCTTGATCAATAAAAAAAAAATAGTTATTTTTTTTGTCGACTAGGTGAAGCCTTGGTGGCATTGGTAGCTATGGTTTATTGCTTAAGCCTAAGAGTTTGAGACTCATGTTGCAAATACAGAGCAACTTCCTCTTCCCCCAAAATTTCTCATGTTCAAAAATGATAAATATATAAAAGAAAAACTGTTTCAAGCTGTACTGTACCCCAATGAGCAGATGAAGATGCTAAAAAGGTTATATAAGACCCTACCACACCATACTCTTTCAAATTGCATAAAGGAACACCATTTGCTTTAATGAACAAACTTCCATGGACCCAAGAACCTTTCCTCTTTGGGGTTCATCATAAATATGATTCAATATATATATGATCAAAATCAGATAATAATCACTTTCTTTGATGCCAAGGACAAATCAAACAGGACCAATGTTAATTACTAGCAGAAGTAGCTGTTGTTGGGGAAGGAAATTTATGATGAGAATGGGGTGGAAAGGACCACAATACTACATAACGCAAGAGAGAGGGGTTGGGGAGTTTTGGTTTTTGTTTGAAAGGAATAGGCCAAGATAAGATGAGGAGTTGGGAAGCAGAACAGTATTGACGAGCGTTTTCTTTTGCCTGCTGCATTTTTGGTCCCCTTTTCAATCCTCTTGTTCATTATCATTCTTTTCAAGAACCTATAGGATATCTCTTATCTCAATTCAAGCTGTATCCCCTTAACTCCTATCCTTCTTCCATGGGTTTCATTAATTCCAATATATGCATCGTGATTCATAAAGAGATATTGTTTTTTTTTTTTTTTTTTTTTTAACATTAAGATATTAAGGGAAGGGGGATAATATTGCAAGGAATTGAATCATGATGGTATCCATGACCAAAGTGCACTCTACTAATACAATTACAACTATAGGTGTGAGATATTATTTCTTCGATTAACATGTTTTACAATGTTATCATAATTAAAATGTCACATAACCTATAAATTTATAATCATATAAAGTCATTAATATTATGAAAAGATCTCTAAATAAAAAATCAATCATAAATATTATAATTAAAAACTTTCAGTATCACGTAATATAATAACTATTTATATCCTGTTTGTAAGTTTTATAATTATATTTCTGTTCCCAAACTCCTTCCTATCTATAAGAACATGTGATTTTAGCACCTAAGATAGGAGTGGCAATATCGGAGTAGCCAAGAAACACATGGACCTGCGTTACGACAAAAGCCTAGTCACACCATGCTCGTTTCCGCCACAAGCCTCAGCCGCCCATGAACGCAACCTCTTTAGCCCCCACTTTCAGGTCCACAATGTGGACCCCAATCCTGTCTCTTGCTTCGAGAACTTCACCCCGGAAATCGTACGGCCACGATCCAATTTTCGAAATCTGCACTGCCACGTGAGTCGCTGATATATCTTTCTTCTCTTTCCTACATGCTTTTGGATTCCTTGCAAAAAAATCCTCAACTTTTAAAACCGACCAATTTGGCCTTTTGCAATATTTATTCTTTTTGTCCGTCAATTTCTCATCATAGAGAATTCATATGATGCCTTATGTAATAAGAAAGCCTTTACATTACTATAATACCACTTGTGCTATACAATGAGTTAATTGAACTATTTAAAAATTTTATTACTAGTTGAAATACTTACCAATTAAAAATATGTACTATTAAAAGCTACAAGACTATAATATTTATGTATAGACTAATGATTTTTGGACCGAAATTTAGAACACAATTTTTTTAATCATCAATCACGAGGACTCATATAAAACCTACACCATGATCAATGATTATAATAAACTTGTTATAAAAAGTGACTTTTTACTATTATTATTCTATTCTTTCGTATAGCATTGTTAATATTATTTACATGTGGACTTTCCATGTTTTTGTGTTAATTAACTGAATTAATGGGTGAAAATATATTTTTATTTTTTTAACAAAAAGAAATATGCATAGGCCTTGTGTATTCTTTTAACCAGGACTAAATTTCTCAGTTTTAATGGTTGAGGACTAAAAGTAACATAGTTTAGAAGAACTTGCAATGATATTATTAATCAATTCATTACTTCAACTTTACTGATTCCCTCTTCACCGTTAGATCAACTTCAGAAAATTCCAAAGAAAATTATTGTCTTTTTCTGTGACGATTAGTTGTAACCGCCACCCTATAAATCCAGACTCCTCCTGAAATCTCAATCCTCTCAGTAGCTTGCACAACGAAAGATGTGCGGAGGTGCGATCATTACCGATTTCATTGCCGTCAAGCGCGGCCGTAAGTTGACGGTGTCGGACCTCTGGGCCGACCTCGACACTATCTCCGACCTCCTAGGTTTGGGCGGCTCCGGTGCAAACGACTCCTCCTCTCAGAAGGTCGAGAACAAGGCCGTTCCAAAACCAAAGCAACTCAACCGAGGTAAGACTTTCTCGCCTTCGCTTCAGCGAATCATCCGAGTTTTGGCTTCTCTTCTTCTTCTTTCCGGCCTGCATCTTACTTGTGCAGACGGAGATTCTGTTTGTTTTGTTTTGCTTTTTTCATCATGATACTTAATTTAATTTGAATTTCGTTCTACTCTGAGTTTTCTGCAAATTTACGCCTCCGTAGTTGCACAGATGATTTTTCCGATCAGAAATTTTGAAATTAAGGTTTTCCTGAAACTCTAAGTTAGTTTGGATTAATTTGAATTTCGTTCTACTCTGATTCATGAAAAGAAACAGAGAGAATCTTCAAAAAGATGGAAGCATTATTTTGTGATTATTTTTATTTTTTATTTTTATTTTTTGCATTTATCTGTTCTTTTCCTGAAGTTGTGATTTCCTTCGGATTGTAGCATCAAGAGGAGAAAAGAACCAGAAATCCACGGAAAAAGAGGCGAAGACTCAGCGGGTTCGGAAGAATGTGTACAGAGGAATCCGGCAGAGGCCGTGGGGAAAGTGGGCGGCGGAAATCAGGGACCCACATAAAGGTGTCCGAGTCTGGTTGGGCACCTACAACACCGCCGAGGAAGCAGCTCGAGCCTACGACGTCGCCGCCAAGCGTATCCGCGGTGACAAGGCCAAGCTTAACTTCCCTCCTCCTCCTTCTCCGTCCCAACCGCCTACTAAGAAGCAGTGCATCTCTACCGACTTCACCCAGACTAGTTTCGAAACCACCGGACCACCAACACCACCGCCTCCTCTGACCCCACAACAACAGCCACCTCTTCCGACCCCACCACAACAGCTTTTAATGGGGTTCGAGTATGGAAACGACGTGGAGAATGAAATAGAACTGAAAGAACAAATTTCGAACCTGGAATCGTTTCTGGAATTGGAGCCGGAGACTGAGACGGAGGTGAGTGGAGGCGTTGAGGTTGGCCCGGTGGATCTTTGGATGCTGGATGACCTGGTTACCCATCACCGGCTGCAACGTCAGCTTGTTTATTAGGGTGAAAAGAATAATTAAGCGGCTATAATTAAATAGTTAATGATGTTTAGCAATTTTATATTAAGGGTGGTTGTCTCTGTACTCAATCTCCATCTTTCTTTGCATGCTTATATTTTGCTGTTATGTTACTTTATGAGTAATAATGTTTAATAATAATGTTTGTATGGTACATATAATGATGTGAGCAATGCATCATTTATCTTGGATTATGCCCGTGAAGTCAGTGACTTATGGGGATTGATTTGGCTGTTTATTAAGAATGGAATTTCTTAAATTCATGGTCTTACTAGATATTATCATTGGTGTTGAAACATACTATATATACCGTCGTGCATCAAGATATTTCGGCCTAAATTTTCACAAGGGAAGAAATTTGAAATAAAAAAAATGTTATTTTTTATGATATAATTTATTATTTGACTGAAAAAAAATACTATAAATACTAATGAAATATTATAAATTTGTTTGGTTGGTTGTTTTTTAATAGCTGGTAATAATAATTATTAGTGGATAAAAAAAGTTAATATCAATTTAAATTCAATTTATAAGTTAATATTTACAAACACCCAAATTAATTAGTTAAAGGAAAAAAAAATTATACTAATGATCTATTGATTCAAGTGTAAAAAAATTGATTTCTTTTAAATAAAATCTTGAATTTGAATATTTTGATTAAAAAAACAGATAAATTTTGAATATTGACGGGTTACTACCAAAACAGAAAGGAAAAAGGTTATAAATGATAAAATTAGTGACATAATGAGTATTGACTAAGTTAATAGAACTTAAGATATTAAATATTAAAAAGTTTTTCTTAAAGAAAAATCAAAAGCACTTTGCTTATTCAGATTCAATTAATATAGTCAATGAATCACTGGATTAATTAATCTATCCAAAAGTTTTCTCAAAGGTTCGGAAGTGCCCATGGACAAAGGAGATTGGCGAATTCTCTCAATTTATGAAGCGGAGCGTTGGTATGCAGAAGGTACAAATCTCCAAGTTTTGGAAAGTGATGTCGTTAAATGTAAGAAATGCTCCATGTCCGTACCCAATGCATGAACCTCCTCTTCGTCGCCTTTGCCGCCTTTAATTTACTATTCTTTTTTTGGTCTCCTTTATAATTCTTTTTTGGCTAATCTTAAAAAAGGCAACTCACGTTGGCTTGGTGTAGTCAAACTTGAGTGTTAGCTCTAGAACACCGAAACTTTGGGTTAGCCGGCCGGTTGGTGTGGAACGTGTTGATTAAAACCTTATTACCTCCACGAGTTTTGACATCATCTCTTCCCC